ATATATGGTCAATGCTCGACTCGACTCTACTCGTTTGCAGCCCTATTAGAAACTGAAGGGTTCAAATGAATCTGGACTGTTAATCTTGCAATAGTTTTAGAATTATTAAGTTGATGTGATGTGTAAAATATGGATTGGTTTGTATTATTTAATTATATGAGTAATATTAAAGATAGTAGAATTGAGTTCAATTTGAGTTAAATTTTGAATATGAATTAAATGTGAGTGAAATATTTTAAAGACAAACACCCCTTAATTTAAATAGGTAAAGGGAGATGGAGATCATTATCAATGCAACCTTTTCATGTAATAAAAATATGAATGCAAAACTTAATTTCTCTCAAAAGTTAGGGGCAAATAAATTTAACACCTTTGGATATCAACTAAGTTATCTACTTTATTTTTCTTCCAATGAAAATGTGAAAAGTAGAGCATTTTTTTCACATGATTAACACATGTGCGTTAAAATATCAGACTAAGAAATGAAATACGTTTTCTATTTTATTTTTGCTCCAATGAAAATGTGAAAAGTGGAACATTTTATCACATGGTTATGGTTATTTGAAACAATGCACCTCATTCACAAAACGACGTCTACAAAAAGTGTTTGTTTAAATGATCACGTTTTTTTTTTTTTTGCTAACTTTATGTGAAAGACGATTCTTTGTACAAGAAACCAAACAAAGATGAAAGTTTAAACGTGCCTCAATTAACACCATTCATTCCGGACCAGTGGTATAATCAGTAGATTTAGGACATAATAATCAATAATTACAACAAGAAATAAATGAAAACATTGAATTATTGATCGATTATTTGATAAGTCTATTCTCATTCCATGTCCCTTTCTCATGCTCCATGAGCAAAGGCTTAATTGGAAGATCTGTATTATATTATATTATAGGCTTAATTGAAAAAAAAACATATCATTTTGTAAATTACATATTTTATCATTTTTTTTTCACATTTGAGTATAAATATAACAACTAAAATAAAAGTTATTTAATAATATGTATGAAATTTATAATTGAATTAATTGTTACATTAACTAACTAAGTTATTTACTAATTATTACATCTTAGCTTAATTTTTAGACTGTAATACAAAAATAATATAAATTTTGAATTTGCTATATATTAACGATAATCGTTGATGTATATAATAAATAGTGTAATTCTTTATATACTTTGAAAATTATATTAATAATAATCAACAGTAATGTCGTAAAATATAAAAAAATAATTATATGAATTTAAAATGAAAATCTAATATACCATATAAATTATTTTTATTAGATAATTATCGTGTAAATTATATTACTAATATAATTATATAATAAATAATTTAAATACATGTACTGAATTATTTCATCTAATAATTCTTCAAGTACAATTTAAAGTCCAAATTTTGAAGTAGTTGTTATATATAAAGTATGCCGATCTGGATTATCCCGTTAAACGACGACGACACGTACAAAGGATTTACATCGGCTCGGTATGTTCGAGGAATGCAGAATTCATCTTCTACGCCGATATCACCTCTATGTCGATCTCACTCCAAGCCATAGACGCATCAGACCAGCGTTACCACAGCGTAGAAGGTATCTCCTCACATCGACCACAAGTGAATGAATCTTGCTTCATGTCGATCTCAGATGATCTAGTATGAAAAAAGTTGCCGCCCAGAACTAGTTCGCACCGTCCAAAAGATCAGCCACTTGAACAAGTTGTTGTGACACGCGGCTCCCTTTATGTAGCAGACCCCTGAAAGACCGCCGCATGTTTCAAAAATAATACTCCCTCCTATTTTTTTAAATGTCATTTTGACTTTGTCAACAATTTACTAAATAAATGTCGTTTTGGATCTTTTGTACATATTTTTCCATTATTACCCTCATCTATATAATAAATAGACTACGTCTTTTCATATTCACTCTTCATCTTTTTTCAAAACATCAATCTCTATCCTCATTAATGAAGGCTATTATTGGCAAAAAATTTATCCTTAATTACTGTGCAACTTCTCAAAACGACATTTATTAAAAATAGGAGTGAGTATATTATATTGTTCTTCCCTTTCTATAAATAGGCGCACCCCGTTAGATGGAAAACATCGAAAAAAAATCATCAAAAAATAAATCACAAAACGCCATGGAAAAATACTCATTAAGAGTACAGTATAGTTCGATTGTCGTCAATAGGCTCCTATAAAAAAAAAAAAAATCAAAAGTGATCTAAATTTATCGACAAAACCTGGTGCAAGCGTATCAACGCGAACACCTAATTCGTAGAATGTCTCGTTGTCCCTATTTCTTTTTTCGTTCTTGTTTCCAAATTTGTATATTTAAAATTCAAATTACCATCTAATTATATCATATTAACACTTTATCAGTTTTGCTATGGAACCATTGAATGACACGGTTTATGGAGTCATCCACCTTAATTAACAAATACATTAAGTGATGGATGACTCCATAGAATTTCTAAACACTTTGTAATCTTTTTGGCAAAACCAACCGCCAACAATATCTACCCACCCAATAGTACATTATCTCCCAACAACATTTGTGTTTATTCAAACTTCAAAGTAATTAGGTACCATTAATTTCAAGTACTCTATTGAAAATTAATACCCTTCTTATCTTGACATAAAGATTAACACAAATCATAATTACTTCATTTTTCTCATGGTGACAGGCATTTGCCCTTTTTAGACATTATGGACATTGAATGCTATGATGGTTTGGTTTAAGGAGATTGGTACTTGTTAGAGGCATCCCTGATTTGTATTAACCTTAGTAAGTGTTGAACACCGTGCAGATTGCAGCCAACAAGTTTGCCTACATGATCTTACAGATATGGCAATTCTCGGCATTTCCTTTCATCTATTTCGACTTTTAGGGCTTGTATGGATATAAAATATCCGATTGATCGGATAATATTATTTTTAACTCAAATCAAAATTTATTTAATTTTTTTTAATATTATCAATATATTTAAATAATAACAATAAATTATCCCCACACATTACATTAATTTTAATTCACTATTCAACACTCACATAATTTGAACTATCTATGGCAATAATCAAATCATTAATCCTCTCTCACTTTTATGCCATATCAATTTTGATCATTATATTTTAAATAATATTTAAATAAAAACGCAAAATCTTACTCAAACAAAACTCAATTTACCTTTTTTTTTTTTGAGAAATCAACTCAAGGCAAGTGATCGGCGATTTGATTACACGGGGTCTCAACTTATCTAATAAATTTAATCAAATTCAAAATAACTTATATCCAATCGGGCCCTAAGAGTAAAAAATGCTTCAAAACTATTTGAAAAAATTATCGCAAGATAATGATGAACTTCTAACAAAAATATATTCTAACGAAATTATGACGATAATTATAATGAATATTACAATGCTATTACTTTCTTAAAAAAATTTCTAACGAATTTCAATGAAAAGCCTAACAAAAATAGTATACTATGTTAGAATTAGTTTTTCATTGGAATTATTATAGAATTTTGGCAATTTCAACTGGTGTTTTTGTTTATAGGATTTTGACAATTTTAACTAAAATTTCAAAGAAAATTTAATCCCGACAAATTATATTAGTGTTTATATTTGTTGGAATACCCATTGCTATTATCCAGCAAAAACTATGCCCTTAGAATATCATGGTCATTATCATTGGAATATTTTTTGTGGAATATGATTGTTATTTTTTTATTGGATATTTTATGTTAGAATATGATAGATATTTTTTTTTTTATTATTGAATATAAATGAATGTAGGTTTTTATTGGTTAGTGGAACTATAATAGCAGGTGCAAAATACGCGTGGAAGTGGTCTCTAATGACATTATTTTTTAAAAAATGCTATAAGTACATAATATTGTACATAAGTTGACCCGTTATATTCTATTAAAAATATATATATTTATACTATTAAATGTCACATTTTTATTTATTTTCTTATATCTTATTTTCTGAAAATAGTAAGTAGTCTGATGGTTATACTCCATTAATCTAGCATAATAATCACTAATTTTTGGTTTAGGTGTTCCATAATTGTGTTTTTAATTTTTAAAGTTTTTGAAATAACAAAACAAAAATGGCGGGTCAGGTAGGGGCCCTGATGGCGGGGACCCATAGCCGCACAATAATGGACCCACTTTTATCAAAGGTCCAAATCCGAGCAGCGTTATTTGAATATTTTCTTTATTTATGTTCTAAAATTAGAAAAACCCCACCACGTTCAATTCTTTGAATTGATCTGTGTTTGTATATATGTATGCAGTACCACTAATGTGCGCCAGGGCAATTATGCACGCGCCTAATCACTTCCAAAAACCAAAAAAATGAGAGAGTGTAGTACACATGTCACTTTCTTTTTTTTTAATTGAAAATGAGACATATTAGATATATTAAAATATTATTAATGATTTATATTAAAATAAAAAAAATAAATATACCAAAATTCATAAATTTTCATTGTCTATAAATAGAGACCACATTTGATAGGTTTTTTTTTAACATAATTAATTTTTTTTCGTAATCAATTTATTATACGACATAGGATGAACATGTTACATAATAAGATGAACATGTTACGGACATGCTCATCTCATTTTGTAAGATATTCATCTTATTTTATAACATGTTCATCTTATTGTGTAAATATGTAACATGTTCATCTTATTCTATAACATGTTCATCTTACTATGTAACATGTTCATCTTATTCTATAACATGTTCATCTTACTAAGTAACATGTTCATCTCATTTTGTAACATATTCATCTTATTTTATAACATGTTCATCTTATCGTTTAAATATGTAACATGTTCATCTTATTCTATAACATGTTCATCTTACTATATAACATGTTCATCATATTCTATAACATCTTACTATGTAACATGTTCATCTTATTCTATAACATGTTCATCTTACTAAGTAACATGTTCATCTTATTATGGATCTGCGTCTTCATCTTCCAACAAAATAAATTAGTTGTGAAAAGTGATAAATTAATTATATTCTAAAACTTATCAAAAGTGGTCTCTATTTGTAGAGAATGAAAAATTATAAATTTTGGTATTTTTCTTTTTCTTTTTTAATATAAAATATGAATGATAATTTAATTTATATAATATGATATATAAAATTCATTATCCAATAGAAATGGGACACATGTCCCATTTAAAAGAAAAAAACTTACCTCACACGCTTTTTTGAGGAGTGTATTTTACAAAAGCCTTGGCACACCTCAAGGCACACCTAATTATTTGCGTATATGTATGTGCCACTATTAATTTTTTAATTTAAATATTAAATGATAATAGTGTTTTAAGAAACATATATATAATTTAATTTAATATATATATGTGTGTGTGTGCGCGGGAGGACAAATAACACTATTGAAACGGTCATACATTGTATGATAACTTACAAAAATTCTATAGAGCCATCGGATGATTTTCTTATGAAACCATTCACCACTTAATGTATTGACACATGTTCATAGCAAATCCATGATAACTCATACCCAGTCATATTTTATATGATATTCATTCTATAAGACAACTTATTCTAATAAAAGAAGTTACTTAAATAACTAATCAGATAAAAAAATTAAAAAAGTTACCATTTTGATGTGGTTGAATGATCAAGAGCCAAGACACGAGAAGTATTTAATGATCCGAGAAGAAAATATGTTAAAATTAAAGAAAATGTGCTAAAATTAACGANACTAGTAATGTCTCTTCTACACATATGAGCCTACATGCTCTCAAAGAATCATCATTTTTATTTTCAATAGTTATATTTATTATTTTTATATTTAAATTATTCAAACATATTAATACTTTTTATTATCTAAAATTTTAGAAAATATATAAATTCACCACTATCAAATTGTTAAATTATTAAGAAAATCGGCTACATATACCAATATTTGCAAATTCGATAATAAATTCAATTCAACAACGCTAAAAGATATCTAAAAATTCCTAGGATATTTATACACTTTGAACTTTGAAGTAATTTATCAAAATAAAAAGAATATTTAAGAAATGATTAGCTTAGTGTTTACTTAATTCTATGTAAAACGCAATTAGTCATACGGAAATGCTCCCCTACGGGCACATGTTAATATGCCCACCGCTTATGTGACATGCACACATTGGTGATGTATTTTTTTAAACATGTCATAAATGATATACATAAAATAGAAAAAATCATGTTTGATACCATTATATTTGATCAAAATGAGAAGCTTCTACTCATAATTCCTATTCCCTTCTGCAGTTGATCAGTGACATAATCAGATAGCCTTGTTCATAAAAGACTATTATCAGCAAAATGTATTGGGATTAAAATTCAAATATTGAAATGTCTACTGTCAGGTACCTGAAATGATATTATATCAAGTGCTGGAAGAACCAGTTAATCAAAACGAAGTTCGACAAGTAGATAAGAAAATTCCTCGAGCAATGGAAGATTTTATTGCAGAAAATGAAGGGTGAAACATTCATATCAAAATATTCATAACTTTGCACCCACACATAATATACTCCCTTGATTTTATTCAATTCTCACAGTACAAAACAAAATTTGTTTCACTGTCAGAAAGAAACCAAAGACATTTACTTGATACTTTTCCCAATTTTACCTCTAAAATCTGGATTTTGTATGTATGCTATTCCCAATTTTACCTCTAAAATCTGGATTTTGTATGTATGCTAACAACAATTACACACTTTACACATTCACAAGAGGTGTGAAGTAGTCTTGTTTATTCAACTACAAATATTAAATTATGTTCTTAATCTATGTGCAAAAAGATTGACTGGCAGATAAAATGAAATCTTAATAAAAAAAGGATAAGAACAGCCAAGCTTCAGGAATACAGAAAAAACCACATGTTATTGCTGCTAAGCTGCAGGCTTTGAGCCCAAAGTACAGCTCACTCATGAACCACATCAGCATACATTTGCTCTCCATTTTTCATTTTATTTTCCGTGTTCTTCGCATTGAATCTAAATTTAAGAACAAATTTGCCCCTAAACAAATCTTTCTCAACGTGCTTCACTCCCAACATGTTAATAATGGGAAAAAAAGAAGAAGGAAGAAGCAGCCGCCTTTAAATACTACAAATGCATTTATAACATATGTTTCTACTTTACGACTTCCAAGATTTATAGATGAAGTTTGTATATCATAATTGTATAAATGCGCAAAGTTAACTAGATTTATGCAAGAAGGCTAAACTAATAGTTCTTGTAATTCAACGCTAGCTATTACTAACATAGAATTTGAGATGTTACAATCTTCAGATTTGTAAGAATATTCAAGAAAATATTACTTGCCAGATAATGAAATCGTAGCTCTATATATTCTCTTATGATGCTTTCAAAATGCAGAATCTGAAGTCAGACCTGAGCTTATGGCAGCTAGAAAACCTTACCTCCTGAGCTTATAGCTTTCCGTGCTCATGTACGTGTCATTTATCCCTTCTGGCCGAGCAAAAGCCTTGGCTCGATATTGCATTCCCACAGCTTCGACATTTTGTGCACCAAACATGTTGACTACCCTAATAGGTTCATAAACAGTTGCCATATAAGGGCATATTAAAGAATATTTACAATGATAAACAAACATTTCAATTCCTTTTTTTTTTTTTACCTATAAAGGAGAGAGCAGGGGAAACACATGTGAAGTCCTGCATAAAAGTTTAGTGATATGAACAGATAACAATGACAGCCACAGGCTCTAAAATTTAAAACTCCTGCTAGCTTCTGAGTTCTTAGATATATCACAATTTATTAGCTTTTTTTTTTTTTTATTATTAATTTCTTAAAACCGCAAGCGATTAATTTCTTAACCACTGGTTAAAGTCTTGACATTCCACTGATCAAGAATGAATTACAAATTAAATCAAAGTCCTGAGTCCTACCATGAGGAAAGATCTATAGAAGGATATTATCACAAGTATACAGCTTCACATACAAGTATGATAGCTATAACATGTTACAATGTCTCTCCTGATTTCAAAAGCCTCCCTAAAACAACTTAACTGTTATTAATTCTTATTATCATTGAAAATCTTCTCCTTTCTCATCTGGAACAGGTGCACGTCGCTTCTGACCAATCCGGTCAGAGTACTTAGCAAATGCAGCTGAAAGGGCAGATTTTATGCTTACTTCAGTCTCTTTCTTTTGCTTTGTTTTGCTCCCTTCCGGAATTTCCTTTTTGTCCTCATTTCTTTCACTTTCTGGCACAAGTCCAGTAACTGACTCGTCAATTGGGTTTTCACCAGCTGCCGGTGCAGGATTTGGAACTGTACGTTTAAATGGCTCGTGAAATGTATCATACAAGCGCTTTACCTGCCATGCATCCAGAAGAACTTAGGTGGGTTAATGAAAAATGAGCCGATAAAAATGTTCCAGCAAAACCATCAAATTGTTTTTTTTTTTTTTAAACAATGCAATTACATATTGAAAATAATTGCTACGTGCTGCAACACAGTGCAATTTGAAGTGTAATTCCCATATAATTTCTACTAAAACAGTAGAATGTGAACTAAACTAGTAAGATCCACACAGCTAATTGGAGGAAAGCGTGAGTGGGAAATTTGCAGAATGGTCTGAATAAGAGTGAAATTCACAATCCATATATACTTTAAAAAGAAAAACACAAGTGAAGACTACCTTTCTTTCTCCAATGCCAGGGCAGCGAGCAAGATCTTCCATTGATGCATCCATGATATGAGTAAGTGACTGGAATATTGATAAAAAAATAAAATTTAGTACACAATAACAATAGTACCCAACTCTAATAAAAAAAATACGGGCTTTACTCCAAATGTAGAACCAAGAGTAACAACATCCGTCTTGTTAACATGACGTACTGCCGTGAGTGCATGATTCAACTGCAGTAAAATAAAAGTTTTAAATTGATTAGATACACTAGAAATAAGTTTGAGAGTAGTAGAACTAAGTTGATAAATTTATGAGTAACACACCCGTGATAGGTAGTCCATATCCATCTGGCCTTGGATAAGATCAGCAGGCTTATTTTCATAAACTTTAATAGTCTCCAAGTATCGACCACATTCTTCCAAGCTAATATAAACAAATCAAGAACCAGTAAGCTACATGAAACCCTAAGGTATCTAATGGGTGACAAAAAAAACTAAGGCCTAAAATCTCAAAATAGAAATAACAAACTTCCTGCAAAAAATTTACCCGAACATCCTTCACTCCAAGTGTTAAGTATTCAAGATTAAGGTATCTTCAATGTTCAATTTTTCTTAATCAATCCCAGTTCACATATCGAGAGTTAAAATTTTCCTTTAGAGAACAAAACTAACATACAAAGAAATAATTCATGACTCTAACGAGTTAATGTTCAGACAGTGGATGGGATACGCCAGTAATAGACAAAAGATACCTCCAACCACATAAAAGAGTGCAGTCATGGAGTAGAGCTGTTTTTGTGACTTCAAGTAAAGGCTTAACGACATCTTCCTGGTAGAAAGAGCTAAAGAATTAGAGAACCAGATAACATCAAGCTGTAAAAGTCAACCCACTTTTCAAAGCTTACCACATCAACATGGCACAACACAACACGAAGCTTGAAGTTCTTCTGCAGTTCCCTTATGCGAAAATACAAGTAATCTGGATGTAGGAGATGATAACGAAGACTGGAGAAAATTAAATTAAAAATTGAAAATCAATCTCAAGATGTTGATAATTTCATAAGTTCATTCCATGAGTCACATTAACATACAAGGTCACCTTTCGCAAATACACAGTGTAGAGTTATGTCAAAATGTATGAAATTAGGAGAACTTATATTAGTCATGTGTCCATGAACTTCATTTTTTTTCCTCACTTTTTAATTTTTTAAGAATAAATCATCGGTGGGGATGGACTAATGATGGTATTGAATCCTGACCCTTAACACCGTCATAATCAGTGGAAGTAACATACAAAAATAACCAGTAATTGCCCGGATATTAACGTATAAAAGTATCAAACCTCAAATAAAGAGCACAGGAATTCTGGCCCAACAAGTAGTCACAAACAATATCAGCAAACGCCCATCTCACATTCCTTATATGTTTCAGTAAAGGGTTCCCTTTCTGCAATGACAAATAGAACAATATATGTTCACTCTAACTGTCAAGTTTACAAACATCCGTAGCACTTCAAACTAAAGAGTGATAAAAACAAGGTATGATGTACTTTCAATTCACATTTCATGAAATAGTAAGTTAACTGAGTTCAGAATCTTGAAAATCACTGCCCACAGAATAAAGGCCAAATCAAATGTCATCATTACACAAAATTGTGTCCAGCTAGGCTTCACTTTCCACATTAACTTGTCACAAAACAGGCAAAAACTCGCTTCAAAATCGATAGCCTTAGGCTAATAACCAAAGCAAGTAGAACTGTAGGAATATATGTTAAAAATGTGTGCTTTACTTTACACGCGCAACTTTTAAGTCATTTTCGCAAAGTCTATGGCTAAATAAATTTCCAAATACGACATGCTTCACCTGTCTATGGCTAACAAGGATGGCGTTCCGATTCCCCCCAGACGAAGAAATTGAAGTAGACGGGCCTTTCGATTGCTCAATTTGCCTACAAAACTTAACAAACCCATATGAGAATCACTCTGTAAATGAGCCCACAAGAAGATTCACACACAAACACGGACCTTGGAGGGGGTGTGTGAGAAGGTGAAGGCGAAACTTTTTCCGATGGCTGCGACGGCGGTGGAGATGGCGGCGGGGCTGCGTAGAACTCGGAGTTCCTGACGAAATTGAAGGCCTGAGAGAAGGAGGGAGAAGGAGTGAAGAGGGACTGCGACGTCGTTTTGGGTTGAGAGCTCTCGGATACCTCCTCGTAAGATGGTATTCTTATGACAAACGGTGTGTTCTGCTCTTTCCCACTGTCTTGTTGCTGGTTCTCGGGCTCGCGTCTGTTTTCCATTCTTTAGCAGAAAAATTCACAGCTGAATCGTATTTTACGTTTGATGCACTAGATTCGGTAAAGAAGACGACGGTCGACAGCTGAACTAATTAAGTGATCAAGATTCTACCCTTACCCCGCGTGCTATGTACACGACAATCATTATATTATTAGTGGGTGGCCCAATGTTACGATTTTATTTAAATAACATTAATCATGATTTATCTATTGATTTTAAATTAAATCGGTTAGACACAATTTGACTGGATGGATTGAGCATCGATTTATAACCAGTCTAGTTCACTTGAATAAGTCGGTTAGACTGGTAGGATCGATACAATTTTCTAAATAAATTTTTCTATATTTAAAATTATTTTAAATAAAATTACATATTTAAATAAAATAGAGATTTATAAATTATTTATCAATTAGTTTAAACATTTGAATTTATAAATTTTTAAAATACTATATTATATTTTTTACCATATTCATAAACATTAAGAGGCCNTTGTTAAGGTATGTTAATTGTGGATATATTTTTTCACTAACTTGCTTTGGTTATTAGCCTAAGGCTATCGATTTTACAAAAATCTGGTCACAAAACAGCTATACCTCAGCACAACTCATAACTAAACACTTCACTAACTCAACACAAAACAGCTATGGCAACAACATCCAATTCTAACAGCATACTCATCAAGTCCCTAGCCGGCTTATTTTGGATTGTATACAAGAGTAGTTCTATTTGGATTGCATTTTTAGAATGTGTTGATAGGTCATGTACCATAAGAACTGGAAAGCTTATTTTGGAGAACTATAAAGGAAAAAGATAATGGGAACAAACAAATGAGTACAATCTTCACAAAGGCTTGTAAATTTGAAGAGTGATGATAATAACACATCTCACTACCCCAATATCTATGCATGTTACAAGAGATGGAAATAACCAATACAAGCCAATATTATCAACCACAAACAAACCCAAAAGAAAAAAAAAAAGAAACAAATGGAAAAATGGTTAGAAGCGCCTTTAATGTAACCGGGCTGGCTACACAAATGAGTGCCATGAGATACATTCGACACACACTTTTTTCTAAATCAAGATAATTATTGTTCCAATCAAAAATAATAAAATAAAATCAACCAATGCTCAGGCGAGAGTCTGATGAGGAGGATGATGATGATCTTAGGTTCGTTTGGCGTCTTGGGACCCCAATTTCACAGGCATTCACACGAGCTGCGAACCGAAGTGAACAAAGTGATTCACCCACTGACGAAGGATCCGGAGAAACATTAACGAACATCAAAGTCTTTGAGTCTCCACCTAAGCAAGGCTGGGAAGATAGAGAACATAAAAGAGTTTCAGTATTTGAACTTTTTAGTGCCCTGACAAAGGCAAAGGGATAACATTAAAGCCACTGTCTGAGTAGACACATCAAGACTTTCATCAAGTCTGATGAGGACAACTAATTAAGACAAAAGAGCTATATAAAAAGGTCAACGAGAAACTCTTTTAACTTCATTGACGAAATTCAGGAGGAGAAGAAGAGAAAAAGTTCAGTTTTCTCAGTAACTTGTAATAATTAGGTATTAATAACCCACAAAATACTTTGAGGCACAACTATTTCCAACAGTTGAAACATGTACCTGGAGAAGATAGGTTAGCTTGGAGTTCCTGTAAGGCACATGCTCCTCCTTCTTGGCCAACGCAAATATCACGTCACTTAATGATGATAAACTCTTATTGATGGCCTATGTAATAAAAACACGCACCCACAGATCAGCAAGCAAGGAAATGAAAAAAAAAAATCTATGAAATACACAACACCTTCTTCCAAAAAAAGAAAACAAGATTCATCTTACCTGAAAAAAAAAAATCTTATGAAATACACAACACCTTCTTCCAAAAAAAGAAAACAAGATTCATCTTACCTGAGTTTCTCTCAGTCGATCCCCAGTAGACCCACTTTTCGATAAACGCTCACTACCAGCAAGGTCGATCAGGTTAAGAACACCTTGCACTTGTTGGTCAGTGCTCTAATAACACCACAGAAAAGAAAACAATATCTTATAAGTTGGAAACTTTAACTAAAAGAAAAATTAGTAAGTTTGAGTTAAGCAACCACAAGGGATACCTACCTCATTAAAACCCATTATTCGCAACGTGAAGACAAAGTGACTCCTTGAAGACTGTTCGTTCATTTGGGTCTTTCCTACTGACCTAAAGTTTCATAGATATAAGACATCAGTATATCATGGATCAGTAAATCCTGAACTCCAATCAGACTCTTCCGCACTAATTCCAACCAAATTATTCATTTAGGAAATAAGGAGCAAAGGTTGCTAAGGCATAAGTGAGTGTTGCAACAGACCATCATAGGGATGACAAATTCGTGTAACTTTAGCTACCTGCTTTGTGCTGCTCTGTCCAAGAGGTAAGAAACCTCCTTGCTACTTCGAACATCCACAACAGTTAGCTCAGAAACGTGAGTGTTTCCATTGGCATCATGTTTGATAGCATATTGCTTTCCAGCATTTTCTGCTCGTGACGCGTCCAAGCCTGTTCTATTTGGTGCCAGTAGGTCACGAATTGTTTCATTATATATCTCAAGCATTGAAACCTGGAAAAAACCAGTAACGGTGAATAACTGAAGCCAAAATTAACTTGGTAAACAAGAGAAGTTCTCCTCTTTATACCTGCATGTCGTACTTCCATCCTTGGGCTTGAAGAATTTGCCTCGTCTCGAATACCTGCTCTAGTGATCTTGGAATGAGACCTTTCTGATCAGGTAGTCCTGGCTTACCCATCATCGTGTGGGTCTTGCCTGAACCTGTTTGCCCATAAGCAAATATGCATACCTGACATGAAAATACATCAACATTATATTAATATACGTTGCCAGTAAGCACCTATTATCAATTTTATGCAGTCAAAGCATGGCAAAAAGGGATAATATTTCAAAGCTCACTTTTCTGAACCCCAATTTTTTTCAAACCCGACTATTATCTGTGACCCCAATTAAAAATTAGAAATCAAATTAAAAAGGAACCAAAAAATGAAAAATGTAACCCCCTTCATATCGTGTAATCATACATTGGCAATGGCTTTAGATTATAATACTAATCAACAAGAATGCAGATATGAATTGCTTGCAATATGCAAATATCTCAAAGCAGCATGATGTTCATCAGCTGGAAAAAGTTCGATGAAGTTACTTGTTCTGCATTAACTTGTCCCGTCAACCTGCCACTTATTTAGTTCTAACTACCAAAGGTCGGTTATACAGGATGAACGAATGAAAGTCAACAAGAGTTCTGTAGGATTATGACCTTATATCCATCAAGTGCGCTCTGAACAAGCTGTGAGATCTCCACAAAAACATCTTCCTGAGAGGCATCGGGCATGAACACTTTATCAAAAGTGAAAGAATGCTTTTGACCTGATAAGATATTATCTATTAGTGGAAAAAACCAGTAAAATAAAGGTTACTAATATCTAAGGAACACAACAGTTTTCTGACTCTTTCAACAAGTATGCTCACCATTTTGTGCCAAATCTATGCCTCGGCCTAGTGTTTCTGTTGATATCGGAAACGAGACGACTTTAGCGTCATTTCCAACCCCATCATCGGACAAAAGGGGCCTCACTCTACAAAACACGCGGATATTCCCTTTCAACTCCTGCGCATCAACAAGAATCATGCTCGACAGGAGAATACAATGCAGGATATTGCCACATTTTAATTGAGAATATATAATATATTGTCAAAAAAGAGTTAATGTAAGTAAAAAAACCAGGATTGTGTTGTGCAGTTTCTTGCGTAGTTTCTCCCCTTCTACAATCTTTGACTCTGCATCAGCCAGACAATTCTGTAACTCCAGAATTGTTGTCTTCTGTTCCTCAAATTCAGATCTGGTCTCCATTGCCGATATATCAGATAGCTAACGGAAGAAGCAGATACTTGCCCGTCAGTACCAAATCTATAGTGTCATATCTGTTAGTACGAAAATCAAGAAAACCTGAAAATCAAATCAAAAGACCTTCAATTTCTTTTCTGCAAAAGCGAGTTGCTCCTGTAGCCTTCTTATCTGTTCGCTTTGAGACAAACATGTCGACTGGCAAATAAACAAAGAAGATATTATAAACTCTAAATTCGTTCATGATTGCTTGTTAGGTACTGATTTCAAAAATTACCTCTAGTTCAGTTGTTTTAGTTGATAGGCTGTCTAACTCAGCGATGGATTTTCCAGTACATTCTTTGTATTTTACAACTTCAGCTGATAAAGCCTGGACTTGTAGCAACTGCCGATCACGATCATCCCGTACTTGCTGCAGATCACCTCTCAAGCTCGTAACTTCGCTACCAAGTGCTTCCTTTTGTTTCATAGCCTCATCTTGCAATGCCTTTAAGATAGAAAAGCATAGTATGAGGCAAGTATGATGGAAAGAAATCAATCAAAATCAACAGCCAGGTTATGTCTTCAATAAATATGTGAACATGTGAGGTCATGTCAAACAATTATCCAAGAAGAAAAACAGCACCGAGAAGCAAGTCAAACAATGTATTAGTTTAACCAACCATGCTAGAACAATGCTACAACCCAGTAAATAACAAGCTTGTCATGATGTCAATCTTTGGAAAAGCATGATTATCGACTAAAGTCACTTACCTTGACTAACATTTGCAACTATTAAATCTGGAACAAGTTCAAGATATTCACTATTAACTTAAAACAGGAATTATTACTAGTCAACCCACTCACTGCACCTATTTGACCCAACATGCAAAGAATCAAGTATGATAAAATATGGCAAAAACCAGGGTGTGAAATAAGCTAAGAAATGGTCACAAGAAACCAAAACTTACTCTTGAGGACGTAAGCTGCTCTTGCAAAGATGTATAGTGGCCCCTCAGTGTACTTAAGTTCTCCACTACTGCTGCCTTCTCCTTCTCAACACGCTTTAATGTCTCATTTGTTGCCTGAAGTTCTGACTGCAGTCTACTATTATACTGTTGTAAGCTTGTGTTATACTCCTGTAATCTCTTATACATATCATTAAGCGTCTGTATCTGCATAAGGAAAACAAAATACAAAATAAGCAACGTAAGATCGGCCATTAGCAGAAGTTCATGCAAAGTTGGATAAATGATATATGAACGCTGTACAATACCTTCTGAATACCAGCAGCATTGTCCTCTTGAACTCGTTTTAATTCTTCTGAAATAGAGAATTGCAATTTCTCAGCAGCAAGTCTGTAAAATTTCTCCTTCTCCAAAGAATCTAACGCATCCTACATTTGACAGTTAAGTTCTTCACACAACAAAGTATAACCAGCTAAAGAAACCATGATTCAAAATTTATTGTATGATGGACAACATACCAATTTCTCTCGTTCTTCCCCTACAAATTTCTCTTGGAGATCCTCCAATTTTTGCCTCAAATCCATAATAATGGAATTCAACTCATCCTCTTTTGCTTTCATCAACAACTCTATAAGAGTGGACAAATTAACAAATAGTTTGTAACCCAAGCATCTTAAGAGAAAAAATTTGAACAGAAGCAACTCAAGAACCAATCTTACCCATATCATTGGACCTCTTTTCTGCTACTCCCAACAAGTCCTTTAGTTTCCCTTGTTCAGTAACGTAATTGCCTTCGAGTTGTTGGAACCACTTGATACATTGCTTAAGCTTTTTTATGCACTCAGCCATTTGTTCGCTTTTTTCCTGCAATAAAAAGAAGAATCCCAATTAAAAAGCACAGTTGAAAATCAAATGCTTGAAAGTCATTTTCACTTGACCAAATTACTATAGCATTGAGCTCATAATGATTTATGCCACAATGGACAGGCAAAGCAAACTAACATACCTTGTAATTAAACTTGTTTTTAATTTGCAACTTCCCATTGAGTAGAGCTTCGACTTCCTCTTTAGTGAACTCACTTACGCCACATTCTGAACCAGAACTGCTTGGTGGCCCACTAACTTGAGGTAGATTTTGGCCCCCATTTACTACTGAAAATGCTTTCCGCACTCTTATCCCAGTGTTTAGTGGCATTTTCCGTCTCCTATCAACAGAAACCTTATCGACACTATCCTTATTCTGCAGAAACCAGAAGAACCCCAACAAAGAAAAAAAAACAAAGGGAAAATTAGCATGAATCAGCCCAAAATAAATAAAGGTATAAGAATCATATATGTACAGCTCCAAGTCTCAAAGGGAAAAAGAGTTTCAATCAGAAAGGAGCAGGGCTAGTTCACAAAAAAACAAAGGGATAATTAGCATGAATCAGCCCAAAATAAATAAAGGTATAAGAATCATATATGTACAGCTCCTAGTCTCAAAGGGAAAAAGAGTTTCAATCGGAAATGAGCAGGGCTAGTTCACCGATAAGAACTACAGCGTTCATAGTAGAGTTAGTAAATTGAGGCATTCGTAAGACACTACTAAAAGCTCGAAGAAAAACTCCAGGCATAAACATATTGATCGATTGTAATTAACAAAGAATTCAAGAAACCCACAAACTCGTTAGAAATTAAATCATATACGAGATTAATTGAAGAGAAATAATAACCTGTAAAAGACTAGACGGAGGCTTGTTTTGGTTGAAGGTCGCCATGAAGGATCAGAAATAAGTAGGGTTTTCAAATTCTATTCGCACTCGAGCAAAAAACACAATTTTTAATTTTTTTTGGTGATAAATCGTTGGTTGAATTGCAGAAATCAGTGAACAGCAGAACAAAAGGAGAATAGAAATCTGTAGTTACAGAAGACAAAATGCATCTCTTTTTTCCCCAGCCTTTCACTTCTAGAAATTTGGGGGAAAACGAGAATTGGCTTTGTTTCCTTTTGCTGAAATTTTCAAATTGAGCTGCGAATCAATTCGAAATAGTCAAAAATCTGGAGTTAAGATTTGGGTTATTTGGGGAAAACTTTGAAGGTTGATTAGGTTTTAGATCTGAGATAAGAATATCGTTTGCAGACGGGTGAGATGAGATTTTTGAAACTTTTTGAATTGGTTCTGGCGGACGCTTTTGCATAGATCCGTTAAAAACCCAACTTGACCGTTTTAACCCTGCTGGTTGGCTGTATTTTGAATTTCAAAATGTACTTGAAATCAATATACATGAAACCATTGTTTTAATTAAATAGTAAATCTCGTGTCGGTAATTATATCGAACGAGCTAACGATTCTATTTTATCAGTTTAAATAAATATTAAATTAATTTTATTATAATATAAATAATGTATAAAACTAACTTTAGTAAATATTAACATTAATTAAAACTTATAAAAAAGTTATATATGTAAAAAAGTTATATATATAATTTATTTGATTGATCTATCTATAAAAAATTTGTGTATGTAAATTTTTCAGTTGTTTAATCTCTATAAAAAATCTTGATACAATGAAAAAATAAAACCAAATCAACAATTATAAATAAATAAATAAATAAAATAATGAACAACTACTATTCTTTTCTTGTAGTTGAGGACATTGAATATTTAAAAAAAAAAAATAAAGGAAGAATGTTTCTCTCGCCTAATAATTTATTTTTTATTTTGAAAATGTTTATAATTTTTTTAAAATTTACTGGTGGGCTTGCATATATTGATTGGCCCGAAAAGTGAAAGAGGCCTTAGAGCCTCCATTACCTTAATTGATTCCGGCCCAAAACCATTTCAGAAGAACAGTTGGCCCAAAATTATTTCGATTAGAAGAAGAAGAAAAAAAAAACAAAAAAAAGTTGGAGATGCGGGGTATCGATCCCCGTACCTCTCGCATGCTAAGCGAGCGCTCTACCATCTGAGCTACATCCCCTGTTGCCACTGACTCATTTTGTTAAATTATAATAAAATTGAACTTAATTTGACATCTTATTATAGGAAAGCAAACATAGTATCGCATCTCTATCATATTAACTCTCATACCTCATCAAAAACTACATATGCATGACCACATTATCTTGTAAGATTTTTTCTATATCCCAAAAAAGTTGAAACAACCTGTTAGATCATTATATCCACCTTTTATTTATATGGCATCCACATAGGCCTGTAAACGAGTCGAGCTCGAGCCCTTAACGAGCTCAGTAAATAAACGAGCATGAAATTGAGCTCGAGTTCGGCTCGTTTATCACTAATAACGAACTGATCTCGAGCTTTAACGAGCTCCATTATATAAAAGTTTCTCTTTTCGAGCCTTAATAATTTTATCGACATAATAAACGAAGCAAGTCTCACACAGTTGCAGTAGAGGAAGAAAAATGGAACAGTTTTCTTGGCATTAAAATACACACAGAGTCGTCATTGTATATCCCAAATTCTGTTTTGAGGTTATTTTATATGCTAATACCCTCAGTTGTAATATCAGGAACTTTGATCTCTAAAACGAGTTCGTTTTTTACGTGTGCCTCTAATTTTCTCCAATCCGCTTGCTCGGGTAGTTCGAGCCTCCTTACAAAGCCATGCTCCCACCAATGACTGCTCTTCCAATCCTTCGTCTTAGATTCTCTTTGTTGTTTCCATTGGCCATATATCTCTAGAATCTTCCCATTTGCGATGCAAACTTGGATTGTGTTTTGACTTGTCCCTGATATGACCAATTGGCATTTGTTAGAACAAGTTTTTTTTTTCTCTTCTTCTCTTAGAAATATTTTATTTGTACAACATATGTAAATTAAATGCGTATGGTTGTCATAATATAATTCAATTAAAGTGATCTACTTTTTAAATGTGTAGATATCATTATGCGATTTTCTGTTTGTTGAGGGACCGAACTGAAAATCAATAGATTTTATTTATGCTCGATAAGCTAAGTTTAGTTGAGTACTCGAATCCAAGAAAACACTCACCGTTCGGGAGTTGTGCTCTTAGGACATAACCGTTTTCCATTCGAAACCAGTCCACAGTTTCGTGTTCTGAACTATTGAAGTTATTCGGCAACAAAGCTTGCGGATCGAACTCCCAAAGTGGAAATGCATCCGAAGGATCAAAGAATTTTCCGAACAAAAACGGGCTGAAGAGTGAGCTGGCGGCTCCGAAGATGTTGTGCACCGTTGGATTATCTTTGCTAATAAAAGCTGCAAACACATCTTCTCTAAGAGGGCACAACCACTTGTTCTGATTTTGGCGATGATCTTCGAATTGAATATCGAGTTGTTTGGAACTGGACATTCAAGTTTGGAATGTTAGAAGGTTTGAGTATTTGTCTGGAAACTAAAACTGGGTTCGAAGAGAGCTGTGAGATTGATGGCTTGTTTTATGCTTAGATATTTTAGCTGTTGTCCAAACAAATGGTTTAAAAAGTATTGATATAAAGCACAGAATAAGTTCCAATGGAATTTGTGATGGGCTGTAAAGTAGGAATATTTCTCTTCTTTTTTTTTTTTCTTTGATTTTTCTTTATATGTGATATATGTTCCTCATATTTAGAAGCAACGTATTCAAATGATCAAATATGGAGAAAATTTGTTATGGTCTATTTTGAGACGAGACGTAACATGTATTTAACTGCTTGAAATAAAAGTAAAAACTAATGAATGGAATAAAAACAAATGTAAACATCTAATTTTTTGTTAACGAACCTTTACTGGTCAGCCTACTTTCTTTTTCGTGCCCCCATTTATTGGTTTTCATTACTTGACACTTGTGGTGGATCTGCTTTCACGGACCGCAGTAATTTATTCTTCTTCCATGTTCAAGAATTGAATTTTTGACCAGAAAAAAGAAAGTTCAAGAATTTGATAATGAACCTATTTCTTATTCTACCTTGTTGGCTTTTGTTGCCTTTTGGGGTCTCTCTTAAGTGTGATTTAAGCTCACATTCGAGCTTTACCGTTGCAAGTTTTGAGTTGGGCCATCAAAGACTTTTGGTTAAAAGTCAGGAATTTGGTTCTTCTGGGAGCTGTACAGAGCAGATATTGAGTTGGGTTGGTCTGAATCATTGTAAATATTTGACCTTTGGACATTATTTCAGAAGTTGAGGGTTCAGGAAAGGAGTGTATATTATTACTGTATGGTTTTTGTTCTGCTTTTCACTGTGCAAGCACCCCATGTGGGAATGAGTGCATCTTCTAGAATGATATTTTTTATTTTATTGCAAGTAGTTCAAACCAATGGAACTTGAGGCACTGCTACATTAAAGGATGAGTTTTATGGTTGAGAATAGGGGTGGGATTTTATACCCGAGAACCGGAGAACCAAACCGGACCGAACCGAAAATAACCGGTTCGGTTCGGTTATTTAAAAAAATAAAACTTTTTTTTCGGTTCCGGTTATTTTTTGTACAAACCGGTTCCGGTTCTCGGTTCCTTTCCAAATGTTTGTGCATTAACCAAAAAACCGACTATATACATGAAATATACATGTTTTCTATGTTTACATGTATAAATCGGTTCCGGTTCTTGGTGTATATTATCGGTTCCTCATTTTTCTTTTCGGTTCTTGGTTTTTTACGATACATTTAGCAATAAGTTGCAATTATTTGGTTGGTTATTAACTCAAAACCGGTTATTACCAGGTTTTTTTCATAAGCCGGTTATCCAAAGAACCGGAAGAACCGAACCGGTATAACACGGTTCGGTTTTTTTTCGGTTCCTATGAATATATGTGTAATCACCGAACCGGTTATTTCGGTTCGGTTCCGGTTCCGGTTCCTGAAAAATTCGTTAAAAACCGGACCGGTCCCAGGCCTAGTTGAGAATGAATTATTATAAGTTTTACAATAGATGAATGTAGAAAGCAATAAGGACACTTCCAATTAAATGCTAAATAGAGCGATATTCCAAGTCTCCAAACACATCTCTTTCCATAACTGTCAGATAACAGTAACACAGACACCATTCATTCATTTACAAACACAGATCTAACAAAAATCAGAATCAGTCCATACCAAAACACCTACAAACCTAAAAACCTTCAAAATCAAAAGAAAGCAAAACTAACATAAAAAGAAACAGAAGAACAAGATCTAAAGCTTCTATCAATATCATATTCATGGACCATGATCTTCTTATCACTTGAATACCAATCTAATCCTCATCAGCCGAGGGCTTTGATGATCCAGTCTTTTTTGGGAGCAAAAGGTTATGAATGTTGGGCATGACTCCACCATTGGCAATCGTGACATCACCAAGAAGCTTGCTGAGCTCCTCATCGTTCCTCACAGCCAACTGGATATGCCGAGGCACAATCCTTGTCTTCTTGTTGTCCCTTGCTGCATTTCCAGCTAGCTCAAGAACCTGGGATTAATTAAAAATATACAATGTAGATCATAAAAATGAAGCTAATCCTAGAAACAAAAGAGGGCAGGAGATAATTCAATAAATCCTAAAACCAACAACTGATAAAGCTGGAGAAAACTCGTGAAGAACGTGATTAAGATAAGGGAGGTTATCAACCAACTGAATTAAAAGAAAACTAATGAGCTTCAGCAGTTAAAAAGAAGCTTTGATTTCAGTAAGCAATAGCAAATTCAGAGAAATTAAGGAAGACTGGAGAGATCTATCACAACAGCTTGAAATTAAGAGTGAAATCCAAAACTATAATACCGGGTAAGGCCAAATATAGTCGATTCAAGAATAAATAAACTAAGTATTGCAAACAAACAAAATGGAAGCATGTTTTGAAAAACCAAGAATACTTTGATTTTTATAGTGAGAATCATTCACAAGCTGATTTAAACAGAAATAAATGAGCTGCAATTTCAGCTGCGAAGAATTTATCACAACAGCTACAAGTTAAGAGTGAAATCAAATGTTATATCATCGCACAAAAGGTCAAAAATAGTCTAAAAAAACACAAAGCATAACAAATAAGTGAATTGACAACATGTCTTAAAAAACCCTAGATTCGACGTGTGTGAAATTCGAAATTCAGATTTCAATTAGAGCAAGCGTTGGAATAATAAAAGCAAAAGAAAGTACCTCCGCAGCCAGGTACTCCAGGACAGCCGCGAGATAAACCGGCGCTCCGGCGCCGACACGCTCGGCGTACTTACCAGCCTTCAGAAAACGGGCTATACGACCGACGGGAAACTGGAGCCCCGCCTTGCTGCTTCTCGATTGGGCTTTCTTTGCCGAACCGGACCCGAGTGTCTTGCCACGACCCGCCATTGCAATCTAGCAGAAAAAGGTTGTTGGTGGTGAAGAGAGATGGTGAATTTGGTAATTGAAAGCAGTCTCAGGCCGATTAGGTTATTATATAGCATTTGGGGGTTTCTGTGAAGGGACCAATGGCGTGATAGTACGCGGATCGTGGATCTGAACCGTTGATAAGGGAACCAATGGACGGACAGATCTTCTAGTTTGTGTTATTGCCGTCTAACTCTAATGCGACCAGTTTCATTTTGGTCACGTGCGCGACGTTTTTGGAATTTGGATTTCGTGGGATGAGCAATGAAACATTTGTTATGAGCAACTTAAACAGTAGTACAATAGTCTTCAAACTCTGCAAAAAGAAAAAAATCCCCAAATGTTCATGTTGGATACAAAACATATCAAAAAAATTCAATCATTTTTTACTTAACTTTAATTCAACCATACTATCATCAATATTATCAATATAACTAAATAATATCAAACACTCCTTCTCACTCACCACATTTAACTTTAATTCACTATTCATCTACTTACATAATTTAACTAGCTATCATTTCAAATATTCTCTCTCATATTTTACATCAAATCAACTTTAATCATTTTATTTTGAATATTATTTAATATACCCACTAACAACTAATTATACCATTTTTTTTTAAAATTAATCAAATCAAACAAAAAGACCCAAACAAAACCAAAAATATTTATATTCAAGCATCCCTTACCCTGGGCCAATTCGACATGTGTCTCTCCTTCATCTGGCGTCCTTATGCCCCTCGACGTCGTCCGATGCTCAGGCCAGGGTAGTGGCGATTTCTCAGGCGGGCTTCAGATTTGTCGGCTCCGCATGGTGTTTCCGTTGAGAAATAGCAAAAATGGTAGCCATGGCAGAGTTCAGACCTGTTGAGGCACGGGTGAACTCGTGGCGGCGAGTGCCTTCGGCCGTTTTGCGACGGTCAGTGCTGAGTTTGTTGCCTCAGTCTTCCCCTTTTTGAGCCTTTCCCTGGTGTTGGGACGACTGGTCCCTCAGGTGGTGGCGATGTTGTTGCTCGGGTTTTTGCGTGGAGAGGGTTGTGGCGAGGGTCTCCCGGGATCGACTATGTGGGTAACTGTTGAGAGGGCTTCCGGTCCATTGGTCTGAAACAAGTTAGTTGGAGGAGGAGTATGATGTTATTTTCCCGTGTAGGAATGATTATTCTCCACTCGTGAGAGTTAATCAATTTGTGTTTGTGGGTGTGTTGTTGTATAGATGTATAGGTTCTAGACGACATTCGGGTTTATCCTCTTATTAAATTCAGCTTTATAGCATCTTGAGTCGGTTGTGTTTGACTGTTTTCTAATATAGATTTATGTTTTTATTCAAAAAAACATGTTCCAGTCAAACTATTTAACCGTTAGACCGCCTCACCCAAAACCAAGGAATATTTTATTTATCACAAATATTGTTGTTAGGCTGTTAAACGTTAAACGGCCATACTTGCTTGCATACTCATGAACTATACATTATTTCCATTCTGCCTTCAAGGTTTTGGTTCAAAATATCTAGCTTCCAAAAGCATTTCAATGATCCCAAATTTTTAAAGTTGCAAAAATGTCCAATTGGAGCTTCTTGGCTGGATCGGAGCAAGTTTTGATGGAAATTTGTTAGAACCATTGAGATTCATCTTTCCCAAACATACACATAGAACTTTCACTTTATTTAAGGTCCTCAACTTCTTATAACCTTTGCAGTACTTATGTGTCCTAAGTACAACTTCGGCAGAGCCAACAAAATAATACAATTTGTTCACAACATCAACAATAAATTTGGTGTTTCTAATCAAGAAGGCAACACAAACAGAACAATTAATCTGTACTCAATGATAGTATTACAAATCATAATCACCTTCTTTACCGTTACGACTTATCCTGAGAGGCCGATAGAAAGCCAACCTCCAAACAGCACCTAATGGTCTGCTGGACAATGTCTTGAATGCTATAATCGAATTCAAATCCTAAGTCTCTAATCTTCTTCGAAGAAATCTCGCTAGGGATCGATTTCTGCTCCAAACTGTCGAGCCTACAAACATATATGCAAGAAAAAGTCAGAATCAAATTTGAAGTTTTTTTTTTTTCTTTCTTTTGGTCAGAATAAAGTCAAAGTCCCGATTCCCAACCTCGGTGTATCTGGACAAGGATACTCGTTTATTATGAGCTCGACCAATTCAGACAAAGTACAGCTTCGTGTGCAACATATGTAACGGCCTTCGGCTTTCGCGTGCTCCATGAGAAAAACGTGTGCACGACATATGTCTTCAATGTGAACCAACGCAATCGAACCCATTCTTGAATTTACGGAATTAAGTATCGAGAGAAACTTAGAGTCACCTAATTAAAGCAATCATCACATGAATTTCACTTAGAGAGATTTTTACATTTTTATTACATATGCTTAAACATTCAAGATACTCTCTAAACCAAAAAGGATCGACTCGAATTTCAAATAAGGAAAAAAGCAAAGCCAAACCTGTAACTGGTGACATCAAAACTTGAATGCTTTTTGGAACAGATGGCATTAAAAACGAGCCGCCTACAGTTGTTGTTATGACAGATATCAAATCAATTCCGTTTTCCTCCGCAAACTGAAAAGCTGCCCTTTCTGTTAGAAGCTTCGAAAGCACGTAAACCTGCACATGAACAATATTTTCTATCGTGTGAAAATCATGTGCAACTAGCTAAACTACCGAAAAATTGGAGATGGAAAAAAAAAAAAAAAAATTACCCAGCCGCTGGCTTTAGTCTTTAGTACTCGACCAATCGGTGTTTGGCAAGATTCATCCACCACTTGTATCCATTCACCCGAGCTATCTTTTGCCGTCAATGTGCTTATTGATGAAGTAAAAACGACTTTACGGATGTTCGATTTCAGACAAGCTTTGAGGACATTCAGTGTCCCCCTAATGGCTGGATCTATGACATTTGTTTTTATATAGCTTCCTTGAACATGAAACAAGACAATTAAAACGAAAAAATGCCATAGTCTATAAGTTACAAGACGAAATCTAATTATCGACAATCACACGTATCCATCTAATGATCTAATATCATAATTTCGTAGTTTGTAAGCTACAACTATCTTTAAACACGACACAGAACTTCAAAATGAAAAGAAAAGAAGTGTATCAAGTGTATCATCAGTAGAAAATAGTTTTCTCTATAGTAATTAACCGTTCGAGTGATCAACAATAAGTTCGATTGTAACTATATAAATTAAATTTGCATTAATTAGCGGCTATATATTACCAACATTTCCTTCTTGATTTCAAATTCCACCGGCATATATATAATATATTTATGTCGAGATAAAAATGTTTTCAATGTGCTAAAAATGCAGTGACGAGTTACCAAGATCTTCTCGAGAAGGAGAGACATCGAATTCCATAGAAGCCGCAACATGAAAAACGCCATCACACCCTCTTACTGCATCATCGAAGCTTCCATTTTCATGCAAATCGGCTCTGAACAAACTCAATCGGGCCCCACCTTGCCACCACTGCAACAAACCAGTTGCCTTCTCTGGAAAATTTAACAATCAAACCATCACAATGTTTGTTTATTTATTTTTTTCAATTACAGCTTATCAGATTTGTTGATTCTCACAATTTTCTACATGCTATCATTATAAAATGTAATCCATTTTAATCTAAGGACATTATGTGAAAAGTAGTCACTCCTAAATAAAGTTGCAACAAACACATTTTTATGCTTCGGGTTTCTCTGGCACAAGTGTAGGGGTGTTATTCGAGTCGAAACGAGTAAATCATGTTCGAGCTCGTGTTTTTTAATAGACGAGTCAACTCGGCTTGGCCCGGCTCGACTCGACTCGACTCGCCTCGTTTAATAAATCTACATATCCTAAACTAAGCTTTTTGCGAATGAGCTCAACTCGGCTCATTTAAATAAAGACAAAAATCAAAGTCGAGACACATATATAAATAATGAATCATTTGAATAAGCTCAGCTCGGCCCATTTAAATAAAAAAACAAGCCGAAATCGAGTTTTCATGGCTCGAACCGAGTTGTATTCTCGAACGGCTTGATTCAAATAACATATCCAAGCATAACATATTTATATTTTGCTTTTTTACTTTTTCCAAGCAGTGAATTCTGTTATGGTGAGCGGTAAATAACTAAATTCAAGTCAAATTTTAACTCAACAAAGAATATCTTTCTATTTTCACCACTTGCTTTACATAAACAAAAAAAACATAAATAAATAATAGAAATGAGGCAATTATAGTAGAGAGAATTTTTTACCAGGATTTCTGAGTGTGGCGTGAACTTTGTAGCCTTTTTGCAGAAGAGATTTAACGAGCCATGATCCAATGTAACCCGTTGCCCCTGTTACACAGTATGTGCTAATTTTCTCATTACTATTTTCCATTTTCTCAATATGGGCTATGGCATCCATCTTTTCTTGATCTACAATAATTCAGTACTAAAAGAAGGAAAAAATAGAAAAAAAAACAAAATTGCTTGTTTTTCTAGTGTCTTCCAAAGTTTATATTATATTTAATTTATTATAGTTTTTATAATATATAAAGTCTATATATTGAATCAGTGAGTAGTGACCACCATCTACTGCTACTATTATTATACTATAAAAGTTGGCAAAATTTCTTAATTTTAGAATTGAGCTAAGACTTGTGTCCTCATGTGGCCAATTTCTCCCCTCTTGTTTTCTTTTCTTTAAGATGCGTCTTCCAAATTCCAATGCATGTGATAGAGATAGAGATGGTCAGGGCCAAACCGGCCGCCGAACCGATTCAGAACGGGCCGGAGCATGAATATAAATCCAACTCAAAAAATTTAATCATTTTTAACTCAATTACTGTTATTAACTCAAACTCACTATCATCAATATTATCAATATAATTTAATAATATCAATCAATCATTCTTACACACAACATCAACTTTAATTCACTATTCATTAACTCACATAATTTTAACTAACCATCACATCACATCTTCTCTCTCCTATTTTTACATCAATTTAATTTTAATTATTTTATTTTAAATATTATTTTAATATACCCACTAACAACTAATCATACTAACTTTTTCAAATTTAACCAACCCAAACCAAAAATTTAATCAAAACAAAAACTTTTTATATCCAATCATGCTCTGAATAGCCCGTTGTTTTACCCAAGTCGGCTGAGGTCATGTTTTTTCAGAAATTGAACCGGGTTTTAATCGGAAGCGAACCAATGATTCCGCGAGTTAAAAATTGATTTGTTTATAGTTCGTTATTATTTTTTTAGATTGTTGTTTGACAGGCAGTTGTGAACTGTGAACTACCGATTCAGTAAATTGACATATATATACCCAGATCGGTTTCAAATTCACATAATTTATCATTTCCCCTACTATTTATATTGAGCGCTTTATAACAACTCAAAAAAATAGGATCACGATTTAGTTGGTATTTAACGTTGATTAAGGTTCCAGGCACAAATTGAATTCAAGAAAGATACGATTGACTTGCAATTCAAAGGGGAAAAAAAGGGTACACCTTCGAAACTCCATAACATTCATTCATGAATTCAAAGGGGAAAAAAATTAAAATATCTAAAGAGTATCATATATTAAACCGCCACAAGATCACATGAATTTTCAAATCATGATGGAATTGAGAAGTAATTACAAAATTGTTTATTATATCAGCTAACTAATCAGTTTAGATAATTTTTCAGTTAGTTTAGTTACCAGACATAACCTATGGGTAAAGTTTGGGTTTTAAATTTGAATAGCAAATTGTAATTGGTAAACTCATTATTGTGATATAATCATTAACCAACTTTGGGATTACTATGATTTAGCAGAAAATGATATCTATTTATTAATATATAAAGAGACAACCTAAATAATTCAAAAATAGTAACTAAAAAATCATCTAAATTCCCGCCTAAATATATTACTAAACATAGTAAATTATTTTGAAATTTTTCAAAAATTCCGCCAAAACATATTTGATTTTTTTTTTTTCGTAAAAAATTTAAATCCAAACATTTTTTAGAAAAAGAGATTCATCTTTATCATAACTTCCTTATCATTAGCTAACTTCCATATAAAGTTAGGTTTAGGTGGGACTAGCTGTGTGCCATATTACCATGGACAACGAACACTTTTTAGTTTACAGTACATTATATAGTTTGATTGGATATACAATAAAGTGAATTAATTTTGAAAAAAAAAAATGATCGAATTTGGTTTTAGTGGAATTTTGAGTTTGTATTAAAATAATATTTAAAATATAATTATTAAAATTGATGTGATATATAAGTAAGAGATAAGTGATTAAAGTGAAGGAAATTTGGGTAGATGAATAGTGAGTAGAATTAATGTCGTGAGGATAATTGATTGATATCATAATAGTTGGGTTACGTTAAATTTAAGTTAGATTTTGAGTTAAAAAAATTATATGATCAGTCATCTAATATTTAAATATACATATTAACCACAATTATATCATTTTTTAGAACAAAATGATTATGTTATTTCATAACACTAATATAATACTCGTGTACTACATGGGTACTTAAATATGTTAATATTTGTACAATAAAAATTAAAATAATTTACGTTTTTATGGTGAAATTATGTATGATGAATATGAAACAATAATAAATAACTAACAACTTGATAATTAATTCAACTAGTGCCCGTATTTTGACACTAAATTTGCCAAAAAAGATATTCTTAATTATACTTTTATAAATATATATGTATAAAAACTGATATTATTTACAACTTCATATATTTTATTCATTTAAAAAAATAGAACAAACTATATTGTATTGTGATTATATGTATATTTATAGAGTCAGTGTCTCATGTTTATTAATATTTCAAGTATTTTAAATTCATATAATTAATAATTTAGAACGTAGAAATGTATTATTTTTTAACTTTATGAAATACAAAATTATTTTATTACATTTAATTATGATAGTCTTTGATATTTACTGTTTTAAACAATATAATATATTTAAATTGAGAAATAATATTTTGTAATATTTTTTAAAATTTATGTTATGTAATTTTATCCAAAATTTATGGAAAAACTTTAAAATGATTATTCTATGGTGTTTTAATGAATTAGATTTTTATTATCTATATCTATATCTATATATAAAGGTTTGATTATTTTTTAAATAGTACCTATTTCCCTCCAAATAATTTTTTTACTATTTCGAGAAATTAATTTAGCAATTATTGTATATTTCAAATAATCACTTATGGAAATTGCGGCTCATTATTTAAGAAAATAATTAAGACATAAAAAATCATTTTTAAGATACCTTACTTGATCAAATTCATTTAATAATTTATGGTATATTTCAAATAATCACTTATGGTAAATTCATTTTTAAGATATCTTAATTACTCAAATCATGTGAATTAGCTGATTTACCCAAATATGAGAATTTCAGCTACAATATCAATTATGTGATTTGGTAAAAAAAAAATTCAACTAAACTGTGTAATTTATTATTTAATAAGTATTTTATATTTTTCGTGTAATCCTTTTGTGAAATACATTTTTAATATACCTTAATTATGCAAATTGAATAAATCCGAGTGACTTTATTCAATCTGTAAATAATTACTACAATTATACAAATATCGACAACAATAATTAATTAAGCGGTTTGCAAAACACTGTTCAAAAAAGATAGTGTTAATAACAATTTTTATTTAAATATTATTTAATAAATATTATTTATTTTTTGTATATTTAATTGCTCAAATCGTGGATAATTAATGAAATATTTAGACCATAAAAATGTGAGTCTTGATTTTGTTTGCAGGCTAGGCAATTAATTTTGTGGTTAAACTGAATATCATTTTTTGTAATTTAGTGAAAAGTATTAAATCAAATTATTTGGTATACTATATATTGATCCAATATACCCGCTTATGATAATAAATGGTATCTCAATTTTTTTTTTTTTCATATTGCTAAGCATTTTACTCGATATTATTGAAAGAAAAATATGGAGAATACTATGGTCGATTCTTTTTTGTAAATGTGCGTGGAACATATCAAATTATTTGGTGTGTGTGTGTGTGTAAAAGGTTTGAATTTACTTAAATCACATTATAGTCAAATCGAATTTCTGAATAAAAAAATTAAAATGACACATATTTTGAAATGAATATAATGTAACTTATTATCAGTTACTTGCACCGTACGAGTTGTGTACTAATTTTAAATAGACATGTTTTATGTAATTTTGCATAATTTAAATTTCATATAATATTTTCAACAAATTAATATAGGTAAATTGTATTACATATTGATTTCATATTTCTAATTTATAAATATTATTTAATAAACATTTATAATTTATAAATATTAATGGATATTTCTTACCCGTGCATCACACGGGATTCGTACTAGTTAGGATTTAGAACTACAAACACCAATATTTTGAAGATACACCCTTAAATCGAGGATAGATATATATGAAGTAATAAGACGATTATTATGTGAGTAATTGTTAATTAATAGAGGACTGGATCCTTTTGTAGTAGCACCAAACTTTGTAGTAGGTCTCTAATTATGCCTAGGAACAAATTAATGGCAAATAACAACTGAATAGCGATTTGAAAAAAAANTTTTTAAGAGTGTGCCAGATGATTTTCGACCTTAATGCAACACTAATGCTCAAATGTTGAAACCCTTTTTCGCACCTTAGAGCATGTTTGTTTATGAATTTTTTTAAAATAATTTCAATATTTTAACTCAACCACCTTTTTTAATTTAACCTCACTATCATCTATATTATTAGTATAAATAAATAATTTCAATCAATCATTCATATACACCACATCAACCTTATTTCACTATTCATCCACTCACATTATTTTAATTAACCATCACTTCAATCATCTATCTCCTACTTTTACATCAAATCAATTTTGATTATTTTATTTTAAATTATTTTAATATACCCACTAACAACTAACCATACCACTTTTTTCAAAATTAACCAAACCAAACCAAAAAATTCAAACAAAACCGCAAATTTCCATGTACAAACATGCTCGAGTTTTTCATCTGAACTGATTCCTTCTATGAAATGTACTTCCATCATCTTCAAAACTGTGGCATTCTTCAGAAAATATTCAAGAAATTAACAAAACCTTGTGGATAATAAGATCATGAACCTTTTCTGCACTTCGTAGGAACATTCCAAGGAAAAGCCAACTCGAGCTTTGTCCTATACGCTATGATTCATGCTTTGAAGTTAGGCTTGGATATAAATTTATATTTTTATTAATTGTATTTTAATATCATTTCTATTATAACATTGAATTGCAAATATATTTTAAAAATTGATAACTTTTGTATTTCTTATCGGTTTTACATATATAATATATCAAATTAATCATCTTTAGATGAGCTTTGATTTGACATCCATATTGTATATATAAAATAAATAAATTATATTTATCTTATAATAATAATAAATTTATATATTAAAATTA